ATAATTTAGGACTAGTTGTTTGGTGTATTTTCCATCCCAAGCCTTGAGTTCCTGGTTTGTTTGTTTGTTTGTTTTTCAAATCGTAACTTGAGATTTACATTCATTTACTCGTCCCTGGTTTTCTTTGCAAAAGAAGAGTGCAAAATTTTGTTGGCAGTTTCCCTGTCTAGTGGCCCTGGTAAAAGACTTAGACTGAGGAAATTTGTGGCCTACCCTTGACCAATGATGATATCTTGAGGTTTAATAGAAAGGAGGTAAGTTACCTAAGGACGGATGCAGTACCCAACTCTGGACTTTAAATACACTTTATCATTTACCTTCTGTGTCTATTCTGGTCTTACTTGTCTATATCTCCCTAAAACATGCTTTATAAACAGCTACATTCAATCTTCCAGACGTCACACCTTATATTATTGTGTTAGTACTAGCTCATGTTGTAGTAGAAAACTAACTCAAAATGTAAATGATTTCTTGAAGCAAAAGCTTAAGTCTTACTCCCAGGGTCCTTGTTATCAGTGAGCATAGACTGTCCATCCTGCCTTGCATAGAAGCTCTACACTCTGAATAAAATTGTTGTTTGACAGACAAAGCAAAGAGCAAATGAACCTGGCTTGACTTCTTTTGTTTTGACTAGAAATGATTTACATTACCTCTGTTCACAGCCTATTGGCTAGAACTAGTCATGCCATCATCCCCCCTTTTTTTTGAGACAGGTTTTCTCTGTGTACTCTCAGCTGTCCTGGAACTCATTCTGTAGACCAGGTTGACTTCAACTCACAGAGATCCACCTTCCTCTCAAGTGCTGGGGTTAAAGGTATGTGCCACCACTGCCTGGTACTTCTTCCCCTACTGGGTAGGGGTCGGCATTCACTTTTAATTCTAACACTTGGGAGGTAGAGATAGAGGGACCTCTCTCTTTTTAAAACATCATTTATTTATTTATTCTTGTATTTTTTTTAATGTATCAGTGCTTTGTCTGCATGCATGCCTGCATGCCAGAAGATGGCATCAGACCCCATTCTAGATGGCTGTGAGCCACCATGTGGTTGAATTGAACTCAGGAGTTCTGGAAGAGCAACGAGAATTCTTAATTGCTGAGCCATCTCTCCACTTTTTTTTTTAAAAAAATAATTTATTAATTTTTATTTTATATGCATTGGTGTTTTGCCTGCATGTATGTCTGCGTGGAAGTGTTGGATCGTGGAGTTATAGACAGTTGTGAGCTGCCATGTGGGTACTGGGAATTGAACCTGGGTCCTTGGAAGAGTAGTCAGTGCTCTCAAACACTGAGCCATCTCTGCAGCCACCACACTCCAACCCCTTTTAACTCTAAGATGTGCAAAGTGGAATCATGTGTCCAGAGGATGAGGACAGACACAGTGAGCACTGCTTAAGGTTATAGAAGATGAGCATAACACAAGGCTATGGAGTTCTTTGTTTCTCTTATCGTGGAAGTTTTTCATAATTTGACCCCTGTTTTGGGGAAAACTGCTTCCTACCTCTCTCACTATTCACACCTCTCATTTTAATTCAGTTAGCGTTGACCTTATTGTAGTTCCCAGAATGTGCTGTACTGTAACTCAAAATTTTGTTTTTACATGTGGCATTACTAGGTTGCAACTCCTTTCTGAACTCTGTATTACTTATAACTCAGTACAAAATTTCTCATTCTAGATAGGATGCTTTTCTTGACTTCCCCTACTCTAGTGTAGATTGTCTAGCTATTATCTTATTCCAGTAATACATGCTGTTGACATATGCCTGATATGGTGCTGTGCTCTGTACCCACTCACCTTTATCTACTCTACTATCAAGGAATGTCTGGGGAGCAGAGATCAGTTTCTCAGTTGTGAATACAGAGATTGGAACATTTGGCAAACAATGCACTTGATGAATATTTGTTAAATAAATGAATGGGTCTAGATGTTGTTTTCATTAGGTCAAAATGAGTTTGAGAAATTAACAAGAAATTGACTTTAAAAAAAACTAATAGTGACTACCCTATTTTCTTTGTATATTTGATGCATGCATGCATACACATACTTGTGCATGTTCATATGTGTGAATGTGGCTGCATGTGTGCCATAGTACACATGTGGAGGTCAGAGAATAACCTTTGGTCTTGGTCTTTACTTTCTGTCTTGTTTGAGATAGGGCTGGCAGACCAGCTAGTTGATGAGTTCCATGGATTCTCCAGTCTCTTTCCCATCTTGCTGTAGCAACAATTGGATCATAGATATCTGCCACAGAGCCCATCTTTTACGTGGGCTTTGGATATTCAAACTTGGGTCTTTACACTTGTGTGGCATGTCATCTCTCCAGCCCCTAACTACTCTTTGATGTGTATTACAGACAGCCAATCATTCACCTTTTAGAGACATTTTTATGTTTATTATGAATAAAGTTAGTATTTTTAAAAAGGCATGTAACATCTAAATGGTTTTTTTTTCTATTTTTTACGAATAGTTTTCCAAATAGTTCCCAATTTTGTTGCACTTCTTGCTTGTGTTTTCTACTTATATAACAGTAACTGCGAATATGTTACACAAGCCCATGATAATATCTGAAGCCAGGGCATTCCATCACCTGACATTTTTCTTCATTTTCTTGGGACAAGTTAATGTTAGTAACTAATTTGACTTTAAATGAGGTGTCCCTATATTTCTGCTATTTTATATTGAACTGTGTCCACTCAAATATTTAAGTTTTGATGCCTTATGTTTGTGAATACAACCATATTTGAAAATAGGGTCTTTGTAGAGGTAGTCAAAGTAACACAAGGTCATTCTTCCTCTTGGGCGTTAGGTATCCTTACTTGAAGAGGAGGTAAGACTCCCCAGGAAGAGACTGTGTGGTGACAGGAGGAGATACTGGAAAGATGTATTCTGAGGAAGGAAAACTTTCCACAAACTTAGCAAAAAGGCAAGGGGGCATTGTAGCCAGCATCTTTGAGATCACTTTGACACTGTTGGCTCCTTGATTGTAATTTTCCAGCCTCCAATACTTGCAAAAGATTAAATTTCTTGCTTCAAGCCATCCATTTTGTTGTACTTGTGTGGCAGCCATAACATATAGAATACAGTTCAGTACTCGTCCTGGCTTGCCTGCCAGCATGCATAAAGAAAATTACTTAGAAGGGTTGAATATTTTGTTTCCAAAGTGGCTATTGTAAATAACCTATTGTGAAATGTTAGCAGAGAGAAGAAACTAGAAATCCTGGCAATTTGGTGGTAAAAACACCCTCACGTATGAAACGGCTACATTTTCCAGGATATCCCAGGATAAACAGATGCTGAAAAGAATGCAAAAACCTCCTACAAAAGTTGCAGAATTAGAGACCTTTTGGGTAACTGAAGAGCCTACTGGGAGAACTAAGTGGTTGAAGTAGTGCTACATTGGACAACTGACACGCAAGTCTTGCGCTTATACTTGTGTTACGCAGTCTGAAGAGGTAAAAGTACTCTTCCAAGAAGCTGTTGTACTTGTCTTGAGATTGGCATAAATTCAACAATGATTTTATAGCAAAAGAGTGAGCATATCCTTGGTGCTGTTTCTGAGGAGTCACAGAGACCGTGTCAAGGAGACACTGTGGAAGTGGTGGCAACTTCTCATTTCTAAGATACAGCTTCTACACCTTGTCCCTGGCTTCAGGACTTCCAACTGTGTCACCAATACCCGATTCCCTATATTAAACCCTAGCACATGCCTGTTTCTTAGGAAGAATTTGATAAGAATTTGGATTGGCTATTTGGCGTGGTTGAATTTGAAGGCAGTACCTTTTTTGGTGACACTGGAAGACTGTATCTCTGTACTCAGTGGCACACAGCAGAAGGTCTCCTGTAGTGATCTTGGCTAACCCAGGAGTAAATGCCTATAGAATGCTAAGCTTGGATAGAGTCTTATGGAGACTTTTATAATAGAGATGACACTATAGCAACTGTGGATGATATGATAATAGTCCTTTGAAGGAATCAGTTCTCTCCTTTTTTTTTGGTTAAAATTTTATTTATTTATTTTACATCCCAACTGCTACCTCCCCGCTCTCTGCTCCCTCTTATCCCCTTCCTCCCTCCATCCACCATTCTGTATTTGCTCAGAAAGGGGCAGGCTTCCCTTGGGCATCAACAAGGCATGACATATCAAGCTGCCATAAGACCGAGCACCTCTTCCTGTATTCAGGCTGGGCAAGGCAATTCAACACTGGGAATAGCTTCCCAAGTACCAGCCAAAGCAGCTGTTATTCCCAATGCCAGGACTCCCACAAATAGACCAAGCTACATAACATATATGTAGAGTGCCTAGGTCAGTTCCATGAAGGCTCTCTGGTTTTCAGTTCAGACTCTGTGAGTTCCCATGAGCCAGGTTAGTGATTTGCATGAGTTTTCCTGAATGAACCTGACCCCCCTGACTTCTGTAATCCTTCCTCCCTCTCCTCAACAAGACTCCGAGCCTGACCCAATGTTTGTCCTTGGATTTCTGAATCTGCTTCCATCAGTCACTGTATTAAAGTTCTCCGCTGATTGCCAGGCTAGTCACCAATGTGATCACAGGGGATGACCAGGTCAGGCTATGCTTCCACTGCAGCAAGCCTTAAGATGGGAGTTTCCTTTGTATCAGGCTTTTCCCTGACTTTGTAAAGCCCCCTTTCCAGTCATCTCCCCACACTCTGTTCCTCTGCCCATCCCACAATCCAATCCTTCAGGTTCCCATACCTACCCACCCCAAGTCCTCATGGGAAATCTCCTCTATTTCCCTTTCCCAGGGAGAACCATGCATTCGCTCTTGTTACCTAGCCTTTCTGGGCCTGTGGATTGTAGCGTGGTTATCTTTACTTTACAGCTAGTATCTACTTATGTCCGAGTACATATCATGTTTATCTTTCTGGGTCTGGATTACTTCATTCAAGATGATTTCTTTCTAGTTCCATCCATTTGCCTTTAAATTTCAGGATGTTTTTAACAGTGGAGTAATACTCTGTAATGTAAATATACATTTCTTTAAAAAATATGGAGTGCTTTATGAACTTGCATGTCATCATTTCACAGGGGTCATGCTAATCTTCTCTATCTTTTCAGTTTTAGTATATGTGCTGCTGAAGTGATCACGGAATCTTTATCTCTTAAGCTGCAGTGCTAATAATTGAGATATGAATTAAGGGGCTCTAAATGATGTAAGCTGAATTCACAGCCTTACCAGACCTCTTAGGTCAATTTTAACACTGTTCAAGCACTTGTTCAAATACTAACAGAAATCCTTGGTCACCAAAAATGTAGCAACTTACAAATAGTCACCCTCAGTTGGGTGCCTGGGCTCACTCACTTTTTTCTTGATGTTATGAGGGGTTGAATAAAGCACTGCTGTCCTCCTAAACACTCTTACACTGAGGCTCTAACTTGCAGTGTGATGTTGGGTCTGTAAGAAATTACTAAGGCTGAAGGAGGTGGTAAGCATGGTTGTAACTTACTTTCTCTGTTCTTCCGCTCATAAAAACTGAAGAAAGTCTTCTATGAGAACCTAGTGGGAAGGTAACTATCTATAAGCAAGGAGGAGAGGCTTCACTAGAAACTGACCATGTTGCCACCCTGAGTTTGAACATTTAGTATCCAGGCCATAAGGAAATAAATTAGAATGATTAAGGAACTCAGTTTATGCTATGTATTTGTTATGACAATCTGAGCTGTGACAGAGTGGTTTTAAATGATAACTGGGCATTTTACCAGACCAGATATTCTTAGTATGCTGACCGTGGCTTTTTGTGTGTGTGTGTGTGTGTGTACAATTTATTTGAAACTGTCCTGATTCAGGAAATCAGCCTTGAGAAGTTATCCTTATGTTTTCCATGATGGATAATGCACTCAGGGATTGTAATAATAATAATAAAATAATAATAATAACAATGAAGCTAGGTTGACAGATAACCCAGGGAAGAAGAAATGCAAAAATTTTGGGTGCTTGGAATCATGTAACCTCGTTACTACATGCCTTTTCTTGGTCATTTTCTCAAAGGGCTCAGAAAAGTTTCCTTCATGAAGAAAGTGAGAAGTACAATGATAAAGGTAATGGCTGTCTTAAAATGTTTGTTAGCAGGTATATTTGGTGTGGACCTCATAACAAACTTCCACAGACCACCTGGCTTAATAGAAACTTATTTTCTCCCACTTCTCAGTGATCATGTTGTTCTTGTTTAAGATCAAACTGTCTGGATTCTTCTGTGACCTTTCTTGACTTTTTGGAAGTATAGCCTTTCTTCTGGGCAAGTGTATCTGTCCGAATGCCCAGTTTCTCTTCTCAAGAGGATACTAGTCAGATTGTTTTAGGGAACATCCTTGAGGTTCTTGTTTAAATTCACTCTTCTTGGGGCTGGAGAGATGGCTCAGAGGTTAAGAGCATTGCCTGCTCTTCCAAAGGTCCTGAGTTCAATTCCCAGCAACCACATGGTGGCTCACAACCATCTGTAATGGGGTCTGGTGCCCTCTTCTGGCCTTCAGGCATAAACACAGACAGAATATTGTATACATAATAAATAAATAAATATAAAAAAAAAATAAAATAAATTCACTCTTCTTTTTTACAGATCTCCAAACAGGACCCTATTCTGATGTACTTTTGGTTATAATGGGCTTCAAAAAGAATTTTTTGAGAGCCATAATTCAGCCTGTAACCATGGAAATCCACTTTAGATTGGGAATAAAGGTGAAATATGCCTCCTGTTTTTGTCTTAAATCTTTGATTTCGATGAATGTCCTGTGGTCTGTGATTGCCAATAGACAATTGCTGGAAGCAATAAGAGCCCTTTCCAAACATAGTGGGAGCAAAGTAGGAATAATGATCACGATTTGACTACTGGGATCTTTGTAGGGGCTACTGATTATGGTATTTGTGTTGAATTTAATGAGTAGGTCATTAGGATTCTAGTTGATCATTATAACTAAAACATAATCCTAAAGAAGAGGTTGTGGGTTAGGGAGGGAGCAGACACAGAAGTTTAAGGGGAGGATGGAGAAGTGGGAGTGTTATAGACACAGTACTTCCATAGAAGTTCTACAAAGATAAAACAATAAAACTTTAGAGAAAATTAACTCATGATACTGTATCAAACCCCAGAAAAGAGAGAATTCTCATACCCATAACCTCTTACCTCAAGAAGGGTCAGGTTTCTTTTGAAGGAGGACTTCTAAGTCTTTTGAATAAGTCCTTTCTAAGTAATTTGACATTTGCAAAGATATTTGAATGCTAGAAAACAATTTACTTTTTAACTATATTTTTGAAAATTGTTGATCAGTGCTTAAAATAATAATGATTTCCTGAAATCTAGAAAACTACCATAGTCCTCAGGTCAAGAGTAGGTTCTTCTGAGTTCATGTGATTGATGGAGTAAGGGCTATTTGAATATTAAAAGTTCAGTGGAAATTGCTGAAAGCTCTTTGTTTTATCAAAGTAGTAAATTAAATGTATCATATCTTTGTGGAAACAAAACCAACAGCAGCAGTTAGTTCCACTACCAAAGACAGAATGGATATGTGTTGGTTTTAGAGAATGATATCAAGTTATTTTTAACTTAATCCAATGGCAATTCTAATGTATATATTTATTGGGGACCCCATCTCTTTGTGTACATTCATAATTGCTATAGTTCTGATGTGTAATTTCTCTTTTCCCCACATTTGAGAATATCAGGAAACAGCTGGTGTGTAACTAGGAAAGAACAGCAATGCGAGTCTTATTCTGTGGCTACGTCATCTTCATGGTTCTCTGCATGAAGCACTCTGTGGTATATTTTGTCACCCCAATAACAAGCCTATTGGTTCACTATAGGAGTGACACTGAGCTGCTAGAATCTGGTGAGAAGGACTAGCATGTATATTAGACTAGTTTTCTTCAATCAAGGGTCATGGACTGTTAAATAATGCAATTGATTGAAATCAACTGCTTTGTAAATTCTATAAAATCAAGTATTTAAAAAACAAGATCATAAATACAAATTGAATTATTTATTAAGTTATATCAAATTACTGTAAGCATTTTAAGGTACTTATTTTTAATTTTATTTGTCATTGATGACCAATAACAAAGAGCAGCACAGTTTGCACCTTGCAGTTGATTAGCTATGCCTTTAGGAGATGTGTGTTAGGTGGGAATTGGGTAAACTGTGGGCTCTGTCTGTTAGTGAAAGGTTTTCGTAATGTGGTAGTCCCACTGAAGGCAAAAGATAAGTTTATATGCCTTGTAACTCTTAACACACACACACACACACACACACACTATTTAATAGACTTTTTCTTTCCTCTCTCTCTCTCTCTCTCTCTCCCTCTCTCTCTCCCTCTCTCTGTCTGTCTCTCTGTCTGTCTGTCTCTCTCTCTCTCTCTCTTTTTAAGAAAGTGTTTATTTTTGTTCCACAGCTCAAGAGTACATCAATCATGGGTGCAGGCACTTGAGGTTGCTGATCACATTGTGCTCACCATCTGGAAGCAAAAAAAGCAACGAGTGTTTGTGTTCAGCTGAATTTGTCCTTTTTATTCAGTCCAGAACCACAGCCCATGGGATGGCCCTGTCTAGAGTCAAGACGATTTTCCTTAGGTTACAACTTTGTCTTCTAGAAATTCAAGGAATTTAAGTTGGAGAAGCGGGCACAAAGGGGATAATAATGCCTTGAGTACTTTGTGCATACTATGTTCCGTGCCAAGCACTTCAGCAGCATTGACTCATGATGACAGCAATACAATGCATAGGGTCTTGGGTTGTCTTTTTTATAGATGAAGAAGCTGGAGCTAAGAGATACAGAATGACGTAGGCGAAGTCTATCAGCTGGTATGAGATTTGCATCCAAAGCCCAGTTCTAGAATTCACACTGTAACCATCCTATTGTGCTGCTTTGAAATCAGAGCATAATGCTCCATTCTTATCTCTAACAGTTAGCAAACTGTCATGCACTCTTTCCTAAATCTACAAACCATGGACTCTAAAACCCCTTTGGTTGGGAATTTAACAAATTAAAGGGTCCTAATGAATTTGTGAACAATAAGAGACACAGTATAATGAGTTTATCAGATTTCTTTTCTAAATGATACAAGATGGGTAATGCTGTTTGAAGAGGAAAGAGAGGGAGCCTAAAATGGAACAAATTCCTCTCAACAGCAAGGGCTTTCATCTACTTGACAGTTTTGGATGTAGCTGCCCCGAATGTTTATAAAGAGCAGCAGTTGGGCTTTCCTACATTCTCCCTTTCCTTTTTGGGCAAGGATTCAGCTGATAGTTTTCCATCCAACTCAGAATTAGCATTGATGTGAGCCAGGTTTTTGGTGGCACCAAATGACTGCCCCTTTTATATTTTCTCTTGAGAGGTACCATAGCCCAGTGGCATCTTACCTGTTCTGTTCACCCTCCATTATTCTGCTCATTCATGTGGTTTGTGGTCCTCTTTTGTTCTCTCTTTTAATATTATGGGTTGCTCTGTCTCCTTACAGATGAAGGCCTTTTCAAATAATTTTGATGAACCAAGCCTTATAACCCTTATTGTGTTTGCAATAATGGCTAAAATAAATTTTTTAAACAAAGCTTTTTAGTCTCTTGTACATAGAGTGCTTTTAAATTGCTTTGAATCTGTGACAAGAAGAGATCCGGAGACACTGCTGTTGGAGTGTGTTAAATGTTGACAAATTCTGGCATATGTTCCTTTTCTGTGGGGCATGGAATTTGTGTTTCTGGAATGGCTGATGTATCAAATTCATGCCTTTTGAAGTTGTGCTGGTAGATGGCACAGTTCATAGGTTTGTGGAAAAGCAGAAGCTCTGGAAGCTTCAATTGTCTAATATGACAATCCATGTGATGCCAAAATTCAATTATGAAAGGTTTCTGGCAGAGCTCTTCTGCAGTCATATTACTTGTTTGGCAACTAAGAACCAATCAGGAGATTTTTCATGGTTAGAAAAGAGAAAGCAGACAGTGATTTGCGTATGATCTCAATCTGTAATTTTGATGTGTCTGTCCTGAATCCATTGCTTTAATAAAAATGTAGTTACCTAACTTCTTTGAAACTGACCACAGCAACTCTTATGAAAAGGAAAAGCCATCTATTTAATTGGGTGGCTTACAGTTCAGAAGTTCA